ATTCCCTTATCTATTAAAGTTGTTCAGAAAGCAATATTTCATTTAAATATAGCAAAAGTGAAATTGGTTCAATCCTTATTTACATTATTTACATCTTCATTGCCATATTCACATTTCAGATGTTGTACACTCCGGCCTTCTTCAGGTGATTGGAATTTTGAATCGAACCCTTTATTTCATCCACCGGAGTATACTGTTCTAGTTCCATGTGCCATGCCTGTCCAACCAAAACATTTTGAATATGGCAATAAAGATGAGGATAACAGTCCGAATAATGTAAATAATGTAAATAACCATAATATCTCAGAGATATAGACAGATATTATTTAATCCTTGTTGATAATTACAAAAAATCCAATTCTTTAGGGAAACTTACACTTATATGACATGAGATTTATTAAATACATACTGATTTGTAATGGCAATGACTTAATTAGTCATGTAAATTGTGACATTACTGTCAATGTGATTAGACAGTAGACAGGGTTTTCTAATTGAAATATTCAACCATAGCTATGTAGGTAAGTGTGGATGAATGTAGTAAAGGGTACTAACTTTAGCTTAGTCTGATACAAAGACAGACAGTAAGGAAAAACTCAATTTTTTAAAATTCTTACTTTACCTGAATTTAAAGACAAACCACTGATGCTGGTAGGATATACACAAGAAAATGTCATATTATCTAGATTATTATAGTAAAGCCATTGAACAAAGATGTACAGGCAGTATAATGGTTAGCAGTGCAGAAAGTGGAATCAGCAAATTTTAGCCTAGTCTGTTGCATTCACTTTCCCATTATTGACCTTGGAAAAATCTAAATTTATCTTTTCTCTCTCAGCTATGGATTAAATAGCAAGGTAAACTGACCAGAAGGACAACCATGAATTCAAAGCCATAAAAAAAGGCCACAAAATACCATTCCACTATATTTTTGAAGGATTCATGGCAATTCACAGATAACAAAAAATGAAAGCTGTGGAAAGTCATATGAAGGAACATAGAATTAAAAAAAATGAACTAACCTGAGTAAAAAATCAGAAATATACTTATTTCTGAATAATTTAAACCATAATATAGTCTAGTGATGTGTTTGTTAACAGAATCTTTGGAATGTTAGTATTGTCTTTTAATGCAAGAAAAATAAATAACAAAGCTAAGTAAATGCTTGAATAATCTATAAAAGTTACTAAATAGGATACAACAGTTTCAATGGTATTTGAACTCACAGCACTTTGTTTACAAGAACAGTTTTCTAAACTGAGCTATGACAGTTTAAGAATTAGATGATAATAAACAAATATAAATTTATCATTGATTAGTCACTAAGAAAAACAGCCTCAAAGCATTTTCCTAGCTAGTACAAATAGTAGGAACAGTGAAAATGCATATTTATGTAGTCTGACATGGCTATTATCTGAAAATTTTACTCTCTAATGTATAATGTTTGTTGCATATGATTTATAGAAAAACATTGGGTTAAGTGCATTGACCAGGAAGAAGATTATGTTGAAAATGAAACATTTGTTGTGTAAAATAAGTGGGTTTTTTTTACCATTAGGCTACATATTTATTGATAAACTTCTGTATATAACAATCAAAAGTGATGAATCTCATAATTAGACTGCTCTTTGAGAAAGTGATTTTAAGGTAGTCATCACAATGTGATGAACAAAACAATTTAAAAAATAGAAATACATGATTTTTACTGTTTTTATTGTAATGGAAAATAAAGCTGTTATTTGTACTATGCATTTAGCTTTTGCAATTAAAATATAATATTTCAGTATGCTTTTCAGTTACTATTTTACCTATTTTTTACTAGGATGATTTCAAATATAGAGATGCGTTTGCAAAGACATTCATTCAGTAATAGAAGACGAGGCCATGGATTAGTAAAAGGATTCCCATCTATAAAAGGAACCCCAATTGCCAGAGGTAATTATTTATTCTTACTCCATTATTAACAAGTTTTTAATCAGCAAATAATATTAATAATATATTTGCTAAAGCAAGTATAATGTTGTTATTGCTATTTAAAATTTTTAGAAGTTTTTTAATATCTAAACCTTTGTCTTCAGAATATTTATGTAAGAACACTTTTCCAAATTTAAAATTTTGGTTCATTATTACTTTTATTTTTTCTTATTGATATCTTAGGCAGATTTAGATAAGTTTTTCTTGAGATATGGTTTGCACTTTTCGGTTCATTTACTATAAAAATTAATGTAAATTGATTTCAAAGTAAAAAAGAAAGAAACAGTATTTAAAAATTAAGGTATAACACTAAGAGCTATTTGGAATACCAGAAAAGCTTAATTTACATAGGAAAGATATTTAATTAATCTGTAACATCTACTGGAAACAAAAAACCTTATGCAGATAGAGAATGAATTAAGTATATACATAAAAATAGAAAAAGAGTGACAAGAAATCATTTTCTCACTAGATTTATTCAACTTGAATAGCATGATGATCCTAAGAGAACTGGAGGAACTACCAGGATTTACTATTGGTGAACAACATCAGATCAACATGAGGGAAGACTCAGAAAATAAACTGAAAGAACTCTTACTCATTATAGTAATGCAAAACAAAAAGAATAGACATTAACTGTAAAAATTAACTGTAAAAAGACAATGCACGGCCATCAGCAAAAAACACAATACAAGGCATGAGCTATATACTGGAGGTGTCAAAATGAAGCAGGTGTAGAAATTTAACTCTGTGGATGGTGTAGTAACAGATGACAAAAATATAGCACAAAGATCCAAAGGTGCACAGGAATGACAAAAGAAATCTTACAGAAGCTAAGCAAAGTATTAAGATATAGAAAAATATCATTAGAAACAAAAAATGTCAAACTGCTATATATGATGTCTAATTTCCTATATGACAGTGAATGCTGAACAATTTCCTCACAAATGAAGAAGAGACTTGAAATGACATATGTTTCTACAGAAGGATGCTGTGAATACAATAGAAAGAACATTTGAGCAATGGATAAGTTTTAAGGAAAATAGAAATTACAAAAAACTGATAGTTACAATCAGAAAGTGATAGTTGAAATTTCTGAGACACACAATGAGAAAAGATGGCCTAGAGAATTTAACACTCACAGGACATAAAGAAGGCAATAAAAACAAGAGGAACCAGCAAGTAATCTACTTGCCAGCTTTTGTGAATGTATTTCAGAATAGGAACAAAGGGAGATTGTCAAAAATTACTTACAGTAGCAAAAGACAGGAAGTTGTGGAGAGCCATGATTTCTTACATTCTGAAAGGATTTGGATCATAAAAGAAGATTCACTAGTGTTGTTCAGGTATATTTAAATTCACTGAAGCTGGTGTATACTTTCTTTAGAAGGACACCCAGATGTCATAGGTAGAGAAATGAGAAAACAACATAGTCACTTGGGTTAAATAAAAGATTCTATCCAAAATTGCTGGAAGATAACAAAGTAAGGTCAGAGAGTACATCAGCCAATACTTGATAAAAACAACAAAGATGGAGAAACAAAGGGATCAAAATATAACAACAATATTTCTCAAGAGAAGCACAGAGAAAAGATACAATGACAAAACACTGTTTTAAAAAAATCCTCTAGATTTGGCAAATTTAAAAAATTATCATACTGTTAATTGCATATTCATTGAAATATTTCTACATGCTAAGTGCATGCTCCAAAAAAAAAGTGATATGAAAGTGAATTTTATTAAAAACTGGGATAGTTATAATTCAAGCTTTACAAATGTCAATTGTGAATATTATTTTGGCAATGATAACAATTAGAAGATAACAAGGATATCAAACTACTATCTGGGAGTAGAAAACATAACTTATGCATAATATAACTGTTTTCAATTGATATTGAAAACAATGATTTATAGATTGTAGTAAGTGTTTACAATTGTATCGCTGAGAATGTATCTGTTTTTAGGAATGTGTAACATAATTAACACTGATTGCAACAGAAAGTTAAATGTAATAAATATTCTTTCACTTAGTAAGAAATAGCATAATATGGCATTCATTTTATGAATATCTATCCTATTATTATATAATGGGTGGAGAAAGTTTAAATCCAGATCTGGTGTATAAAAACAATGATTCAAGCTTCTGAGATGATTTCTCAGTAGCTTTATTCTCACTCAAAGGTTGTCAAATTAGTTACAATAAGCGTTGTAAATATAAATAATTTTGTTTTGTGACTATACTTTCTAAATAATAATTTCCCTCAAAGTGTTTTTTGTTAAAACTATAACCTGTTTCATTTTTAACTTAATACTAATTAAAATAATTTGCAATTATAATATTTCATTAAAATGGATGTTTGTTTTATTCCAGATTGTTATGAGCTCTACCGGAATGGATTCAGAGTATCAGGTGTTTACCCAATAAAGTTACCTCAGGGAAATGTGCTAAATGTTTGGTGTGACATGTCACCAAAGAATGGAGGGTGGACTGTAATCCAAAAAAGACATGATGGGTCAGAGAATTTTACTCGGGACTGGGATGATTATACTTTTGGGTTTGGAAATGTAAATTCTGAATATTATTTTGGCAATGAGAATATACATCAGATGACAAAGAAAGGGAACTACTCCCTGAGAATAGAGCTTACTGATTGGGAAAACAACACAGCTTATGCACAATATGACCATTTTTCTATTGATAGTGAAGACGATGATTATCGACTCCATGTAAGTGGTTACAATGGTACAGCTGGGGATGCACTTAATAAGTATCATAATGAAATGCAGTTCACCACAGTAGACAAAGACAATGATGAATGGCACAGTAATTGTGCATTAAAGGACCAAGCAGGTTGGTGGTACCGTGCATGCGGATTTAGCTCTTTGAATGGAATTTATATCAGAGGGGGTAAAACTGATGCTATACCAGGTGGGTTCATCCGGGGTATTATTTGGTACCACTGGAAAAAGAATTATGGTTACTCAATGAAAAAGACTACAATGAAAATAAAGCCACTAGTTGGCATTCACATGGAACAAGAGATAGCTTTGAATGCACACAAGAAGAAGAAGAGTGAAGAAAGAATTGGGCTGACAGCTGAAGAAGAAGAAGCTTTGTTGGAAATTGGAGTCAGGCGAATAATTGGGAAAGATTTGATCCTAGGAAGACCAAAAGACCTTTCTGAAGAACTGAAGGAAAAGAAGGAGAAAGAAGAAAGAGAGAAGTTGTTAGCTGAACGAGAGAAAATAGCAAAGGGACAAGGAGAAGAAAATGAAGAAGAAAAGACTGAAGGAGTTATGTCAGAGAAAGAAAAATAAAGATAGGAGTTTTTTTTGGGAAATAAAAAAGAGGAGAGTATAATATTTAGAATTTTTTTTCTATGGTAATATTTTGTAAGATGCATAGCAAGATTTCACTCGTGAAAAAATAACAAAGTGAATTTATCTACTGGAAAATTTTTAAATATGCTGTTTAATAAAAATAAATTTATTTCTATATTTTACCTATAAAAATTATAAAGAAAAAAGACATTCCAATTGAACAAGGGTAAGACACACAAACTTAAAAATATAAATACAAATTTTCTATATACATCTGAACAAATATTCATGTATACACAAACATATATAAATATAATTAAATAACTTTATGTCAATTAATGAAATATCAAACATGCATGTACAAATATATATCTATTTCTCTGTATACATTTGTGTTTCCATATATACATATAGTTATATATAAATGTTTACGTATAGATAAAAACACAATCTACCAAGTACAAATAAACGATCATGCAATATTTTCTATATTGCATATGGAAACACAGCCTTCATAAGCACTTTATGCAAATATAAAATGTACAATGGATATAAATTCACTTGCAAGCATATAAAAATACACACACACACACATATATATATATGCACTTTTATGTATGCATATAACATAGATACATGTACACAAATATTTAAAAAATGGTTGCACATGAGTACATAGATTCATAATATATTCACACTAACATATATGTTTATATATACTCATACATACACATATAAATAAAAATAACCTGCTATATATAAATATACAAACAAAGGTTATAAATATAGCACCTGCCACAGCATACTGACAAGTCTTAAATAATTAAATGAACCAACTGTATATAAAAGCATATTAAGTATTTGCTCAATTTCCTGGATGCTTAATAAATGTATCCTTGTGCCAAACTTGGCTTTGTTGATTTGTTCATGCTAAATATTATGTATTATTAATATGAATTAGTATGCATTCACTACCAATAACTTTGAGAAGAGACATTAATATTCCATCTTTGTCCAAACAGTGGAAATCACTTTGTCATTAACTGCATCATCTAATTCCTTTTACAATTTTCATGTAAATAGTCCATACTAAAGAAGAATAAATATTTTATGTTTTCTGAAACAAGTTGGCGTGTGTATATATAACTCAAAATCACCCATCAAAATACATAAAAAAATGTTCACATTTTGATTACTTTTAAGTATTTAAATGTTGTCACATTATTAATGTGGCATGTATTTGAAACTTAATCTCTAACAATTACCATTTATTTTTGTGGAGTATGAATATGAGATCTATTAATTATTCAAGAGATTTATCAAACCATCTGACCCTGATGAGTGGCTTTATACTAAATTCTGGAGTCAGTCAATGAGATAAAGCCATTGAACATTTACTCAACACACACACACACACACACATATATATATATATATATATATATATATACACATACATACATATATATATATATATATATAATAAATTAAAAATATATTTGTTTGCTTAAAAACATTATCACAATATTGAAAATTATTGATTATGTGCCAAAAATTCAATAAACTATAAATAGAAATATTATATTTAATACTTTTACATAAATTCCCTTCTATTACAGAAAAATTATTTAATAAACATAACCCAAAATTTCAGATCAGATTTCAGATGTCATGCAATAACAACCTGAATAAAGAACTGATTTGATGTAAAAGTTAATGTCAAAAATTAATGTTTTTTTTTATGCAACTTTTTGAAACATTTGAATTTATTAACAAATATCATCTTGACCATGAAGAGCAGAAATATTTCTGCAAAAATTGCAGTTTGGAAGTAAGTCTTTGAATTTTTCATTCATTTGTTTGCTAAATATATAATATATAAGTAAAACAATACTCAGATGAGACTGAGGAATGGCCTATCTTATTGGCTAGAAAGAAACCCCAGCATACATCTGTACGTTTTGTCTATAAATTTGGGGAGGGGATGTTTTTGCAGTCAAAACTGTTAATATCAGTCAAGACTGAAACTAACAATTTTAGAGAAAATGGAAACAAAAAGGAAACCTATATTTAATAAGTATAAGAAAGTGAGTCGAAATTTCTAGAGCACATAATGAGGAAAGAGGGCTTGGAAAATTTGATACTCACAGGGCAGATTGAAGGCAAGAGGGATAGAGAAAAGCAATGCATAACCTACCTAGCGAGCTTGAGTAAATGGATGGCAGAGCAGTGTTTAGTAGAAATGGCAAAAAGACAATTTATTGAGTTAGAAAAGATAGGTAATTGTGGCGAGCCATGATTAGTTAGTGTTGACCTCAATGTACACTTTTATATATATACTAGCAGCATGGCCCAGCGTTGTCCGTGCTTGATTCAAAAATTATACGACTCATACAGCAATCGCTATCACTTGACTTAAAATATTTTTGCCCTTCCTTGCCTTTAAAGGAGTGCCCTTTGCCGTGCTGATGTTGTTACATGCCTTACTTCTTGCCTATCTCACACTGCAAATTTTTTCTAAGCTCTATACTAAACATTAAATCTGTTACGAAAAAAAGAACTAAACAAAATGAACACAAAATGATCAGCTTTAAAAAAGGACTCATAACTGGAAAAACTGAATTAAAAAAGAATGTTAACAACAAATACTTTTTCACACCCAACCCAGTTCTGCAGAATCAGAATCAACATTGAGTTTAAGCAAGCGAATGAGCCAATTGGAGTAAAGCACCATGCAGATTTAAATTTTTCCCACTTGTGACGAATGCAGCAATCGATTTTTTGCTAGTTAACATTCATGTCAGTCAGCTGTTGGCTCTCATGCTGGCCAATAGAATCTTCCTGCATATTTGTGGCAGCCAGCTATAGGCTCTCACTCTGGCCAGTAGAAAATGGCCGCAAACTACATGAAAACTGCCATAGAAGCATGAAAAAATCGATTATTTCCACCATCGATGAGAGTTGGGAAATGCAGAAAGTTGGTCTTGACCTTCCCACTAACTTGGAGCATGTGCATGTAAATTTTGGTGCAAATCCATCAAAAATTGCAGTCGTGCATTTGTTACACACACACATACATCTTGCCTTTTTATATATATATATATATATATATATATATATATATATATATATATATATAATCCACAGTGCTTAGCATTTGCTTTTTTAAAAAAAGTGCTCAATACAACAAAGAGCAAAACATTATTCGAACATTTTTATTATAATAGATTACAATAAAAACATTTTACATCACTACACAAAAATTTTCATGTGCCAGAACTATAATCTTTCCTCTCAGGCAATGGTAGGGTTCATTGTCAAAGTCAACAGAGCCTATGTATAATATATTAATATTAGTAATTCAATAATACCAAAATATGCTACTCAGAGTTTCTTGCTAGAGTCGATCCTAAAAATCTACAAATCCACCATTCGCCCTTGCATGGAGTATTGCTGCCATATATGGTCTGGAGCCCCTTCTGTTTGTCTCAAGTCCTTGATAAAATCCAGAGACGGATATGCAATGTAATTGGCCTAGATCTGGCATCTCATCTGCAGTCGCTCTCTCACAGATGTGTCGTTGCATCCCTCTGTCTTTTTTACAATTACTTTCACAGTAACTGCTCTGATGAGCTGCTTTCACTGGTTCCCAGACTTCATGAATTTAAGTGCTCAACTAGACTGGCATCTCGCTCTCACCCTTTGACTGTTGAAACTGTTAAATGTAGCCATCTCTTCTACTCCAATAGCTTCATGTCTTGCACTTGGAACTCCCTCCCCTTTTTCTGTTTCCCTGATAGCTATAATCTCCAACTATTCAAATGTAATGTCAATCAACATCTCCAGATGCCTTGATCTATCCCCTATCCTTCTCTTCATCTTTTCCTCTATCACTCCTATTTGCTCTCGCTCCAACTCTCTGTAACCCCTTGCTTGCTAGTGACTTCCTGCCTTGAAAATGCTTAATATATATATATATATATATATATATATATATACACTAACTGGATTAGATCAATCCAGCAACACCTGATGATACCATCCCCACCATCCATGAAACTCAAGTAATTCTAACTTATACACAAGAATGTTCTCCAGCTTTTCTTTACTCAGCAAAGGCAACTAGCTGATAAGTCAATGAATGCTACTTCTTGCAATATTCAACATTTTCACTTTTCACAAACTCCTTACAAGAGAAGTGTTTACAGAAATATTGTATTTATAACATCCAATGAAGAACAGAATATAAGGGAGACACTTGTTATCCCCTTAAAGTGAAACTTGAGAAGCATGAAAAGTCCTATCCAGAAGGGAAGTAGAAAATTTTGATATTGTAGACATCTAGTAAAGGAAAGGCATATATTACTTCACAAAATTCAGTTAATTGATATGGAATATTACTGAAGATTGAGAAAATTGGAAGAATTGGCATATATTGACTTGTTGGCTAGTTACATAAGTCAAACAAATATAGATTTTAACTTGTGTTTTTTTTTTCTAGTCCAGTCAGTTTTTAGTTGGGGAAACACATTCCTGTATAGAATTACATGGGTGGTAGCAGTGGCAGACCTCCTTTTTTGAGGCCCTGTAGCTTGAAAACATATGGATACTCCTTCACAACCAGCAACAATAGATTTGAGGATCCTACTGCCAAAATGTAGGCTATAAATAGATTCTGGTAAGCTCAACAAGCCCATACAACCAGAAGTTTGGGTACTTCAAGCTCCCAAGAAAATTTTGAAATTTGACCAAAATTTTAAGGTCATATGAAATTAGTATTAGAGCACATTAAGTTACTTCAATCCATTGGCTTATGGTTTTACTACTAAAACAGACTTAATTTAATAACAAACATTTTGTGGCAAAATTCACTAATTAAAAAAAATTGCTTTAGGGGCCTTAAAGTTTAAGCTTCATTAGTTTCATAGTAGATCCATTATTGGGTGTTGGTGAATAGTATCATTACTGAATTAACCAATCCAACTGGTATATTAGCAACCATTTTCTGTTGCCATCTTGTTTCTTAAAAACAAACACTTCTTCTATTTTCAAATTATACATATCAAGAAAGCTGTAAAATGCATCATCTGAACCATTATACTGACAACATCAACAACACAATGAAGGAATTCAGTAGTTTGTATGCATATGTGTGTGGGAATATACATGAATATATATTTATATTATATTTATACAGTAGAGAAAACAGATTTTACAAGTAAATGATTGTACTGATTGACAGTGTTAAAGAAGACTGTTTAGTACCAGTTCCAGGTATACAGGCTATACTTGCTTTAAATATGAATATCAAATTATATACAGCATGGTTAAACAGGATTGTTTATATAAATATTGGCATTTTCTTATATATTCATGTTATACTAGCATTAGGTTCTTATACAAATTCATAAACCATTTTCTGAGATCAATGATTAAAAATGGTTTCAAACAAATAAATCCTTTAAATCTTTAAGAAGACAATCCATCATCAGACTGATGCTAAAAAATCACAAAGCTTTACCAAAGAATAAAAACCACATCACTTGAACACTTCAAACAGCAGCAACAAAAATGGGTAGTACATGAAACTAGAAAGGAAAATAATGATACAATTAAAATGTTAACTTTCCATACTACCAAAAACAAAAGATTTGGAAGGAAACTTCCATCAGTACTAGAAACAGTGATAACAGTGGATTTGAGAAATCAAATTTCCTGAAAAACTATTCTAAGAAATAGATCAACTGACAGTAATGCTAACTATTTGATCAATGAATACCAAATATTTCCTGTATGGATACGGCTATTTTTACCATTACTATTACTAAACATATTGTTGATTAGGAAATAGATGCATATTTATGACAAAATAGTGTAGATATTTTTGCTTAATAAATTTTTATTTTAAAAATAAAATGGCATTAAGGCAATAAGTAGACATTTCAAACATTACAAATTTGATATTTATTTAGCTTAATGCTAATTAACAGGAGCATTCAAGCATATTTAACAAGTTTAACATTCTTTTAATTACTGAAATGACACTAACCTATAAACTTTTATTTTCAGAATAAAACCAGCTTTAAGTTTGCAGTTCATCTTATTACATTTGTATACCTGTTTTTTTAACCAACCATATAAATTCTAATATAAAATGTACAAATAACATTTAAAAATTTGAACAAGCCTTATTATTCGGACTGGCATGCTTATCTTGGTTGTTATACTCACATCCACTCAAGTTCTCTCTAGCCTTCTCCTGGTGTCTGTCATTGTATTCACTAAGCTTCTCAGTATTTTGATTTGAAACCTTTATTTAATCCACTTGTTGCTTGTTTCTTCCACAAATGACATAAACGTGAATAAGACTGATGAGTATTAACTGAAATGAAATATCCACAAAACATGGAAAGCAAAATGAGAACACTCTACATTTGTGAACTGAATAAAAGAGTCAGTTTGAAATTCCAAGATGGCTAGCAAGTATGAAGGCAGATACCTGAAGAAGGACAGAGCCAAAAAAGTATGAGCATAACAACCAAGATGAACATGCTCATCTGAATAATATGGCATATAATAATAATAATTAATCATCTTAAAAAATTCTTACATAAATTAAGGTTACATACCTTTATCATTCTTACACCTCTTGGACAGATTACAAACTCACTATTACAAAGTTGTTTCTGGCATTGTTGTGTTAGCTGGATGCGTCCAGTCTGTAAACGAGTAAAAAATATTTTTGCTTAAACTATGAACAATTCACTATTTGGTGCAAATTTGACAAAAAATAATAACAAACTAGTATTAGATATTTTAATTATAAATGCAAGCCCACTTTGTTATAAAAAAAACAGTGATATAGTTGTTTATTTTACATTGGTTAATTAAACTATTTAAAGATATGTTTGTTAGATACAAAATGCATAATCTCTGTAATATATAATATAATATTATTAGGTATCAGTATTATAAATTGTAATATTAATATGAATTTAATTAAGAAATTATTTAGCCATTTGTAAATATTAAACAGATTTCTGAAGAGTCATAGAGGATTTTACTATACAGAAATGAATTTCTAGCAAAGTCAATCAACATTATAATTTATATATTTGCTTTGACATTTAATTAAATTTTCTATTTTCTGTAATTAAAATATAAGAAATAATAAGCAATGATTTTGTTAATAAAATTGCTTTACCATTATTTTTATATGTTAAGACAGACTGGAAAATTTATTTTTCACAATTATTGCAGTATTAAAGAAATTAAAAAAGGACTGATACCAAACTACTGTGGTCCATTCTTGAAGCAGTATTCACAGTGTCTCCAAATAAGCAATATTGATAATTCTTTAAACCCACCACACCAGATACCACACTGCCATAGTCCATTCCTAATAATAGAAGAAAAGAAAATAATGAATCATTGTTCAGTGGTATAATATTGCAAAAGAAACAGTAAATCAGTTAGTAAAATGATTTGTTTAAGTGGCTTTTAGTTTCTGTGATTGCATTGAATCATCAATTATTAATTTATGACTCAATGTAATCATAAATTAATAATTAAATCTTGAGCAGATTTCTAATGTAAATTATAGGTACTTTAATAATGACTAGAAATAACCATGAAAATTTTACAGTTTTGCTATTTGAATTTTCTGATATATCATAATTCTTAACTTAATGATTGAATAAGCTCCTTGTGAGTACTACAACAACAAAATATCCGTAGAAATTCCCCTATTGCCTCATTAAATATTTGAGCTTAACAACCTTACCAAAATATTGCAATAAAATAATGCAGGTCATTATTTAAAGAAGTAAGCGGGTACAAATGAAAAGATTTGAAATTGACAAGTTTTCCATTTCCCTGAATCAGATTTTTAAACACATGAGAGCATTATTTCCTGTATATCTTCTATCTTCCTTTTCTTTCATTCTTTTGAAATCAAACAGCATCTTTGATATGTCTTTTCCATCTTTCCTCACACTCAAAATGTAATTCTTCATTACTTATGAGGTATTGGCAGGGTGTAATGTACATGCTAATTAAGGAACATGCAGAATCATAATATGATTGTATGATCACAGATATTTTCATCGTTAAGTAATTGAGAGGGTACATGGCCAAGTGGTTAGAACATTAGCATTTCAACCATGAGACCTGGGTTCAAATTTCACCATAGTCAGTTTGACTTCTTGATAATATCAGCTTGAGGTGACAAACCCACCATTCAGAATTGACTGAAAACCATACCATAGATTGACCCAAGCCTTGTGAGTGAAATTGAGTAACCAAAACTATTTGGAATTTGTCAATGGTTGTACTAGCATAAAGTCATAGGCCATCATAACTGAGGATTTAAGTGTACTGGCCTTGTTCAATCTGTTGATCATGACAGATTATGTGCTCTCTCCCAGAAACTCTAAGTAAGGTCTACTCAGCATAATTGCAGTATAAACCACTAATTGGCTCTGTGGGTGTTGAACAAACAAAAATGTGTCTGAACAAGCAACTTCAGCAGAGATGAGCTAGCCACTCAAGTAGACAGTATACTATATCACAAGTTTTCAATGAAATGATAGAATAAGGTATAGGTAGAGAATGACTTATTAATGAATATTGCTATTTTTGTTCAAATTTATCAACCTTCTTACAAAAGACTTAAAACTATTGTATCTGTGTTTGTATATATACTGTAATTTAATTTTGATCCATAAATTCACAATTTCAGTCACAATTAAGAATGTAGTTAAAAGTCTATTGAATTTGAATCAGCATAACTGAAATGATAAAATGTCACCTATAAAAATAAACACAATTAGTTTTATATGCTTTTATGGGAAACTATTAATAGCACTGAAAAATTTTCTCTTTTCATTGAAGTTTTATGCAAAGTTTTCTAAACTTATCAAGCATTATTATATGCCATGTTACAAGATATTTAAGGTAGCTAATGTTCAACAGAAATGAACAAAAACTATTTTAGGAAAAAAATTGTATAATAAAGCTAATATTATAACTTATCTAGAAAACATTTGGCTTTATTTTTCTCTTATCAAATAAAACATTTTATCAAAGACTGATATTGTTAATATCTGCTACTTGAGAAATTTGTGACATCATCCATCAGAAAATAAACCATGAAAAAAAACTATTCATTGCCATTGAATATTAAAATACAAAAAATAGTGCTAAACACAGTTTTAGTGCTAGAACAGAAGAAAAACATTTAAAAAATTAAATAATATCAAAAGAATTATAACTAAATTCTTACTTAGCCAATTATCAGAATACTTCTTTGATTGCCCAACCAATAGTTTTCTCTTTACTATTAGAGAGCCACCTAATAAACATAAAATGCTGACAAATCTAGATGATTTCAAGATACTTGGTTTATATAATCTTTAAATTGCTTACATGTTTTAAAAATTTATAAAGACATTATGAAAAATATAGGTTATCGCCCCTTGGTTGATAAGACCCCCGCCCAGTAGGGAGATGAGTTCATTTATCTGATAATAATGGGTAAGAACCAAATTTAGGTGCCAAAGAGATTTTAGGCACCAATGATGAGAGGCTTCAAGACCAGCAAGCTGAATGGACGTGTTTTCGCCTACTCCATGAGCAGGCAATGCTGGCCACAAGCAAACCTGAATAATCCAAGGACAAGCAGTCATCGGAAGAAGATCAACATCAGATAAGTGTTTCAATCAATTTCAAACAGATACATGTATTTGGACATTGCCTCTGATGCCATGATATTAAGGAATATGTTTAGCAATTTCTCCATTCTCATTTTCATTGTATAATGTATTGCTTATATAAAGTATGCCTTTTTTAAACTTTTCAATTGTCTTGTCTTTTGTTCATCTGTGACTCATTTGGGGAGTCACTAAATTTCCCACAAAATTCTTAAGAAGTTTTTTGAATGTTTAAAATCTTAAATTTCAAAAAATCCTTTAAATACTATAGCAAACATATGATTTTAATCCTAAATGCCTCAAAAAGTAAGATGTAATAATTAAAAGATTTTTAAATCATATATAATAAAATTTGATACTTCATTATTGCTGATATTGTCATGCATTACTTTTAATTCTTTTTGTAAAACTAAAGGGAAATTTAATATTAAAAATGCAAAGCATTAAATTCATGTCCTGTATAAACTATGTTAAAATCTATAGCATTAATATATGTGTGTGTGTGAGAGAGAGAGAGAGAGAGAGAGAGAGAGAGAGAGAGTTTGTGTGTATGCATAATCATTTTATTATCTGTGTTTATTTGTTATGATACCTGCTTTGATTCCATCTTCAAATGTTTTAAATGAGTTCATATATATATATATATATATATATATATATATATATATATATATATATATAGTATTTACTCAAAAATTATAACATAAGCATGTTAAAACATCACTACAAAAATAGCCATTTTGTTTCAACACTTCTCTCTACTCTGTATTGAGCGCTTTTTTAAGAATAGTGTTTTTGGTTATTGGAATTTTAATCCATCTATACCATTCCTACACTTGTGTGTATATATATATATATATATATATATTTAGGTTGTTCAGAAAATATTGTTGTATTTTTGGAGGCAGAATAAAAACCTGTTTCAGTATTACATGATACATTTATTCATTATCATTAACATTGACAAAATCCCACTGTGAATTGTTTCTGTGACCTGAATAAAATTTAAAAAAAGGAAAAGTGAATAGGAATATTGAGGCACATCCTTCCAACTTAATGATTTGATCTTCTCTTGGTTTTAATTTAGTGAATGAATCAGAATCAAATCCACAATCCCAAAGTAAAAAAAGAATTTTCTTCACAGTAGAGTTTTGCCAGTTCTAATAAGGATGATTATGTTCATTATGTAACTAATTTTTATTTAATCTCCAAAAATTTAATTTTTACTTTAGAACAATCTAATAATTTTAAGCAGTAAAAAGTAGTTTAAAGTGACATGTAGCCTTTAGAATAATCTCGGACACTGTTTCTTTGTGACTCAATAATGTAAATGTAATACATGTTATTACCAATTTCCAAACTAATTTCTTTACTGAGATTTTCCAGGCTGTGTTCTCTACATGAATGGATTAAGTCAAGTGCACAACGAGCAACATCTTTAGCATGATTGGGTTTACCATCTAGTCCACCAGCCAAAAGCAATAAACCATCATTTTCTTTGGTTTCCACCTTTAAAAAAAGAAAAGAAATTAAAAATCAAAAAGGTGAAATGACATTTATTACAAATTGTCTGATAAATTGAAGCTAATGAATATGCCACTCTTTCTTCATTCCATTTGAATATCATTTTGTGTTTCCAGTGGAAACCAAAATTAAAACATTACTCATATCACAATTGAAATCATTAAGCATATATTTTTATAGTGTATCATTGTAATACATATCTCTTTTAAATCATTTATAATATATGTTTGTATCATATTCAATATAAATGATGTCCCAAAATTATAGAGAGTACATCTAATATATTCTTTATGCCAGATTTTATGAGTAAAATAATTATAATCATTGTTAAAATGCTTGTGGACAGAATATATATTTTGTGAATAATGTATACAATATATATTTACAAAAGAAATATATTTGTCATGCAGTTATAGTAAATTATTTTCAATGCATTTCTGTAATCATTTACAATCAATCAAGTTTTTGTATTTTTTCCTTTTTCTATTCACTGGTCTACTGGAAATTCAACTCCCAAGAAACAGTCAATTCAATACGAAAACTATCTTTACATTTCAGACTATAATACTGTGTTTAGACATTGTCACATGACATTTTATTAGCAGATTTAAGTTTTTGAAACACCATAAATGCAGCTTTTGGCTACTGATAAAATTTGTCAGAACAGCATTACCGCCATACAGTATTGTATATTGTTCTATATATAAAATGCAATTATTAGGTGATGAAAATCAGTAGACATGAAGACTCAAATAGAACAAGAATCAAGGTGTAAACCTGGGACCATTCAATGTTATCCTAGATTTTATATTGAAGCCTAATATGCATATATTTTTATAGCCTATTTGCATATTTCTCATCCAAATGTCATATAAAATTTTCTCTGCGCACACATACACACGTGCACACACACACACGTATGCGTGTGTGTGTGTGTGTGTGTGTGACAAAGTTGAAAATGTTTTTGTGTGATGTGCTTCATCCTTTATGATTTTTATGAGACTAAATTTGTTATGCTGGTGGGACGACACATGCACACATTTTTTAATATATATCCCACACGGTGATAATAGAAGATCTGTTGGAAATGATAATGAAAAGAAAAAGAACCTAAATTAAATTATCTAGATTATATACCATAAAAATTCAAATACCCACCATGTGTAATCGCAGCAATGTAACAAACTTAGTCTGATGAAGTTTTAAAGGATAAAATGTCTCACACAAAAACTTTTTTCCACTTTGTCATAGATTTTTCACCCTAATATTGTTCTTGATATATAAAAAATTTATATATCATTATCTTATATATATATATATATATATATATATATATATATATATGAAATTAATCAAAACTTCTGTAATGATTAGTGATAATATTAACATTCATCATAGTAATGTTTGAAAGCACTCAAACCAAAACCTAATAATTTTGGAGCAGTCTCTTTATAAATCTGATTTGGATGAATGATTGTTTATATACACAAAAAACAATATAATAAAAATAAGCAGTCCTTGTTGGTCAAATTTAAGAAAACATTTTTTAATGCGTATGTGTATTTATGTGCATGTGTTTGTGTAAATTTGAAGGAAGTTAAAGGGAGGAAATTAGTGAAGAAAAGGAAAGGTAAAACAGAAAAGAGAAAGATATATCTGAATAAAAGTCTTAAACAAAATAAGATTGAAGATTATGATATTGGTAATATTAGCCATTTCCTTATAAGGAAACATTTGGCATTCATTGATTGAACAGCCAATACTATTGTCAGTTGAAATTTATAAAATCTTCCTCTTAAAACAATTTTTCAGGAAATTAGGTTTCTCAAATCCAGTAGCTGTTATCACTCTTTCCAGTATTGATAGAGGTCTTTTTCCTTACCTTTTATTTGAGCTACATATGATATCCACTTTAGTTGTTGCTTTTATTGAAAATCCTCAAGTGGTGTTGTTTCTTTTATTTGGTACAATTCTTTGTTTCTGATTCTGTAGCCAACACCCACAGTCTTCACCTGCTCAAAGCCATTTTTAATCATTGATCTGAGAAAGTGGTTGTATACAGCTGACACTTTAGATATTTCTGAATGTGTTTAGCACTATGCATGACAGCCATATGAAAGTCTCAGTTTGATGTGGGTATTTAAGAACATTGATTCAAGTTTTTGGGTTAATGTTTTGGTTTTATAGCAATTTGTAGTGTTATATGTATATTATATTTAGCACAGCGTATACTAGTACTTTTTTCATACTTTTCATTCTATCTATTAATACTGAACATATATAATAAAACCTATCTTTAATTTTATTTTAATCTATTTCTTAAAATAGATTAAAAATAAAAATACTTTTTATACAAATAACCCTTTACTGTGAGAGAGTTGTAGGTATTTGTAATATGTATATATTAGTGAGCAATATCCTAATAATACAGCCTCTCCACTCCAACCTTTGGTTAAAAATAAAAACATATGCTAGCAAAATTGTTTCCCTTGAGGAACAATCTTCAGTAACAGAAACTTTTGGTCATGAAAAATCAATTTATTTGATTTATATTTTCACTAGCAGTATGGCCCGGCGTTGCCCGTGCTTAATTCAAAAATCGTACGACTCATACAGCAATCGCTATCACTTGACTTAAAATATTTTTGCCCTTCCTTGCCTTTAAAGGAGTGTCCTTTGCTATGCTGATGTTGCTACATGCCTTACTTCTTGCCTATCTCACACTGCGAATTTTTTCTAAGCTCTATACTAAACATTAAATCTGTTGGGAAAAAAAAACTAAACAAAATGAACACAAAACGATCAGCTTTAAAAAAGGACTCATAACTGGAAAAACTGAATGAAAAAAGAATGTTAACAACAAATAATTTTTCACACCCAACCCAGTTCTGCGGAATCAGCGAATGCAAGCGAATGTGCCAATTGGAGTAAAGTGCCATGCAGATTTAAATTTTTCCCACTTGTGACAAATGCAGCAATCGATTTTTTGCTAGTTAACATTCGTGTCAGTCAGCTGTTGGCTCTCACACTGGCCAATAGAATCTTCCTGCCTATTCGTGGCAGCCAGCTATAGGCTCTCATTCATGTAGATAAATGTTAAAGCTTACCTTAAAGACATTGTGATGGCTAATAATTTTATTAAGCCATTGGAAGATTTCACAGATATTCCTCATCAAATCTCTGGCATTCTTTGTTTTGGAGATATCAACAAATCGACTGTATCCAGTTATTGAGCAGAACATAAGTGTTACTTCATCAATTGTCTGTAAAATAATAAAGAGCAAAAATTAATAGTATGCTTCATTGAAGATAACAAGAATTAACATTAGTGATATTTTACTATTTTTAACAGAAACACCTTCAGCTAAATATATTTCAATAAAAACTGGGAATAAAAAAGATGAAAATTCTTTAAAAAAAATAAAAAGTAATCTTAAAATGATTCAATGGCACAGCAACTCATATCCAAGGATTCCCATCTAGTAGGGTAGCTAGCTAATCCCTGTTATAGACAAGCGTATGGTTGCACGAAATACAACAACAGCATAAATAGATTTATGTGATTTATTTCAATAGGAAAGTGTGGGTTTGGGACAGCTACCTTGTGGTATAGTTCATAAGCCGGCTGTCGATCTGGGTTGATCTCTCATAGTAGTTTCTCACTGGTTGGTGTGGCGCTTCTCCTGCTGACTGCTGCTGACTGACCGTGACAGGTCCCTTCCCTGGCCTCCTGTTGACTGCTGTTGTACTTTCCTGTGTGACCCTTTTTATGACGTTTTTTATGGCTTAACAGGCTCGTAAAACGACGCGAGTATAATTAGGAGGGAAGCATTTTTATTGGTTGAAAAATAGAAACACTTTAAAATATTATTTCATTTTTCGACTGGAACTCGTGCATCAGGCTTATGCGTAAACGACGATAATAGTCATTTTGTGACAGGGCCTTGTCCCATTCATATCCGGCTCTCGCTCTTGAGTATGTTAGTTTATTTGCCTGTAAATCAGCCAACATATGTCTTATTTTATTTTATAACATTCCTGTTGCAGACACCTGTTCAGGCAGATTAGTGTATGTTCAACACCCACAGAGCCCACCTGTAGTTTATACTGCAACTATGCTGAGTATACCTTAGTTACAGTTTCTGGGAGAGTATGCACTATCTAACATGATCAGCAGTCTGAACAAGGCCAGCAGAATCAAACCGTTGGTCATGATGACTTGTAACTTCATGCTAGCACAACCATCGTCAGCTCCCAAAGGGTCCTGTCTATCCAAATTCACTCATGAGGCCTGGGTCAAACCTTGGTATGGTTTTCAGGCACTTTCCAAAGGTGACAAACACTGAGATCATCTCTTCCAGACCAATAAAATCAAAAAGTGACCTTCCTGACATGATTCGAACCCAGGTCTTATGGTCAGAAAGCAAATGTTCTAACCACTTGGGCACATGCCCAGATTACTTATTTACTTATGTAATTCACTTCTTACCTGCCATGTCTCTTCAGGATTTTTTCCTTCTTCAAGCTGGATACCAATATTCTTTGGAATTATAGAATAAAGCAAATCTCTGCTAGCCTGTTGGTATTCTTTAGCTTTCTTTTTGACTAAATGTGTTTCTTGAATTTTCTGGATTGTCTGAAAAACAGTAACAATTAGATTGCTCATAAAACAAACATTTTAAAATGGAAAAATACTAACTGAATTTTAGTTTTTCTTTTTCATTAGAAGTACAGTACATCCCAAAATATATGCTCACACTTGGACATTTTGAACATGTGAAATTACTCCTAATTTAAGCATAAAATATTTAATGTCATTATAACTAATCTTTATTATTAGATTTAATCTTAATTATAAAACTATTCAATGAAACTTATAAAAAAATTAATTACAACAGATATTAACAAATAATCAATATATATATTTTCTTGGCAATTTTTCTCACAAGAATTTACCTTATACATTTATAAGTCTACCATTTGTCCTTATTTTGAATATTGCTGCCAAACCGGATCTGGTGTATCTGCTGTATATTTAGAGATTCTAGATAAAATACAAGAAGAATCTGCAATGTTATTGGTCTTGACCTGACATCTTAGCCTCAGTCATTTTCTTTCCCATTGTTATAACATAGCTTCTTTGTGCCTTTTTTAAAAATATTTTCATGATAATTTTTCTGATGTGCTGTCCTTTTTTGTACCTAGATTTTGTGAATTTAAGTGCAGTACTAAATTGGTATCAAGGTTTCATCATTTTACAGTTGAAATGGTTAGATGTAACAGTAAGTTCAATGCTAACAATTTCTTCTATCACATTTCTCACTTGTAAAACTCTCTTCTGGCTTGTTGCTTTCCAGTCAACTTTGATCTTCAAAAGTTTAAATGCAAAGTCAATAGTTATCTTCTTAATTCCTGTCCTTTTATTGTTCTTTCTCTTTAATAATATTTTTTTTCTTATATTCTCTCACACTCAGTAATCTGTGTCATAGTGGCTTTATTACCTTGCTTGGAATGAAATGACACACACACATATATATATATATACAGGGTATAATAGGTAAATTGTTGTCATTTTATATTTTTAATTTTGTGCATACACATTGTTAGTTTTTGATTTTGTTGACTGCACAACATTGTAGGCTCAGTTGGGCACCATCTGAGAGAAAAAAAGCACCATGACACAATTCACTCTGCCAGGAATTTGGAAATGGTATGCTGTACTGCTTGGCATTCGGGCTGTAAGCTTCAATACAAATCAAATGCCTTGGGAAGGTAGTGCTTCCTTGGGTCAAGAAGGTGACTGCTGGAAGACCCTATATCTGGCAACAGATCCCAGTCATGGCTGTCAGACAGTTTCTGTGACCACATTACTCCTTACATCTGGCCAACTAACTCCCCAGACTGCAACCTCCTTGACTATGTGAGGTGCAGTTGAGTGAGAGACCAACAAAAACTCCTTGTAATGCCAAAGTTGAACTGAAGGCAAGGATTATGGCAGCAGTCACCAATTTAAACAAAGAGATTGTTCAGAAGTGTTGCAGGAGATTCCAAAGTCATCTGGAGGCTGTGGTTGAAGCCACTGTTGATTTTATTGAATAAATTTACTCTTTAGTATTTTAATATATTTTTGTGTAATTTTGGTAAATATATCTGTTAAAATGAGATGTCAGTGTTATTTTCCCTTTTGCATAATTTGAACGACAATTTATCCATCGCACCCTGTGTGTGTGTGTATGTGTGTGTGAGTATGTGTGTGTATATATATATATATATATATATATATATATATATATATATATATGATAAAATAAAAGAACAAACAGGAAACATATATCAATCTGACATGTTTCACTTTTATTAAAGTAGAGATTGAGAGAAAACAGACAAAAAGACAGTAAACACTGGTATTTTCAATTAGGTTTGGGTAATCAATCTCTCATTTTGTATCAAAACAATGCTGGACATAACTTTGATTTCACTAATGTCACCCTAATTAAAAAAGAATATAATTCTTTAAGGAGAAAATACATGGAAAGATTAATAATAACATTATTACAAACTATAAACACATGCCTAAAACATTACATTACATTGCCATCTTTCTTTGAATCCATTCTTAAAGAATCTAACCTCTCTATCTAATACAAGAAATACATCCTTAAAGAGGTGAGCCATAAATTAGAAACCTGTGACTCCCCACCTGCATGGGCTGATTGCACAAAATTAAAGATAAAAGCCCCAACTAGACAGATACATGCACACAATTACAAATACACATTACCATCCGTTGCCCACTTAGACATACAAGAATCTTCACAAACCTACATACACATAGAATTATCTACAGTTTTATTACATGTGACACATGTCTGCCCAATGAGAACTGGCACAAACATAATTGAAAATACCAGTGTTTTATATCTTTTTGTCTGTTTTCTCTCAATCTCTAAGGAAGCTTTAATAAAATTGTTCAGGATATTCTGTGTAAAGTAAACAATAATATCCATTGTCCAAGTAGTTCATGAAGGACTTAGTAACAGATATAAAGACTCATTGGTGTAGTTTTGTACAAATCTACAACAGTGGGGTACCAATGAATATTGAACTTATAATATTTATTCCCTTCAAGTGTTGACCAACTAACTGACATTTTTAACCTTTACTTCTGTGCTTCTTGTCATGTCTTTCATGAGTACTTAGCTACAATTCACAGAACATGTTGAATGCTAATATGAACAAACATCAATAATGTTAATCTGATAATAACAATTAAATAAAAGGAAAAAAAAGCCAGTAACATTTTATATGTACATTAATTCAGTTTTAGAAGCACATTTCTTTTATCTAAAATGCTTATATATTGACACATTGTAGTAATAAAAGAATTTACCTTATCAAGAGTGAGTTCAATGTTTGATGCATGCTGGTGCCCAACTAGAATCATATCTCGGCTGTTGTCAGTCATACTTAAATCATTTAAATATAATCCTTTCATCTGTAAATCTTCCAAGTTCTCAATTCTGTAATAAACAATATCTCAGTTTTTATATAAACAAAAATAAAAGAGTTTTTAAAAAGTAGTGCACAAAAATATATTCATATTACAACCTAATTTTTTTAATAATGCTTGTCTCAATATAAAATCACTGACAATCCTTTTTACCCAATTTTCAATGTATAAAATGAATACCAAGATTTATTTGAATAAATGTTAAGTAAAACTTTTCAAAATTTTCTGTATTTATTTTGGCATATACTTCCTGAGGTCAAGCCATGCTATCAATATACTACCTTATATCAGATTTTATTGTTTATTTTAAAATTCAAATGGTATTAACCAATAGATACTAGTAAAACTTTCAAGATATATAAAAGTCAGTCATAAAGTAATTCCTGTTCTTTACAATGGATTTAATATTAGAAACACACAAAACATACCAAAATAAACACAGAAGTCTATGGATTCCAAATCTAATCCTCAACATTTCTCATCCTTCCTTCTCAAACTTTGAATGATTACATATAAACTTGCTATGTTCAATTGGCCTTGTTCACTGGAGAACCACTGCTCTATGAATGCCTTTTTCATGGGCCCAAACAAATGAAATTTTGAAGTTTCCAAGCCAATACTGAAGGATTAATAAGGCAAGCTAGTTCAGCCAAACACTTTGTTTGCCTGATCTTAAAACTACTGTCAGGCCTTGCATTATCATGTTGTAAAAGCTTATCACCCATTTTCAACTTAACTTAAAGAAGCCTTGCTGTAAGCTTTCACAATTTACTTACAAAGGCATCAGAATTGGTAGTGGTGCCATTTAGCATATTTTCTAACAGTCTGTCACAAAAGTCAGATTCTCCTTTCTCTCAAGAATTGCCTTTTACTCTACTGAACATCTTACTGTGCTTATATCAAGTGCAGCCTTTCCAAAAACATCTGCTAATCACTTGTAAGTGTTTTCAGCACTTTATCTATGACAGCTCCTTGCTTTTTTGATATATGCAGAGGGGCAGCCATTTTCAAAAAGGATTATGTATATAAAAAGTGAAAGTAACTCCACAATTTTTTTCCTGGGTTTCAATACATTTCATAGTTTATAGCAAAAAAAAAAATCCAGAATTTCTGACTAATCCTTTTAAAATTAAATTAGAAAAAACATTACTTTTTGACCAAACCCTTATATTTATATAATACATATAGGATGTAAATTTCAGCTTATAATATCTCATTTTAGAAATATTTACAATGTTATTTTGTAGTTTGAGATTTTATTATGCAACTTGATCATTGTTCCTTCATATTGTAAAAAATATATTTCTTTTATATATATATATATATATATATATATATATATATATATATATATATATATCATGGACTCTACCATCATTGATCGACATGGGCTGTTGACCCACATATACCATGAACTATTTTTACAAAGTATAAGAGTCAGGCAGCTCAGTTGCTAGGAACAGACAGCCAGACAACCTGCACATATGACTTGATCATAGTGGTGGAGGCTTTGTGCAGAACCAACCACACTTTTTGAAGAGCTGAATACAGAGACCTGGTGCACTACATGCCACAAGGTCCCCAAACGACCTTCTGCAGGTTTTGAATTCAGAGTTGTCCTTCTCCTAGACCACTTACCATCCCAGTCTGTCCTGTTATTTACCCATAGCTGGGGGGTAGAAGAATTGGATTCATACCTTTCCCAAGGGTATTAGGGTGTAAGTGAATGTAATGCATTTGACTGGAATTTGAACTCAGCTCACGGACTCCTCAGTCCATGCCACGATCCATTACTCCACCATACCTCCATAATATATATATATATATATATATATATATATATATATATATATATATATATATATATATATAGTTTTTAAGGTATGCTATATTATGGGATAAAGTGATCAATATATCAAGGATAGAGTGTATGTAAATATAAAAGTGGATATTGAAGTCAACTCCCAGAGGCAACAGTCTGTTTCATGCTAAATGCAATTGTCAGGTAATATGTGTTGTGTTTTTGCTCGACATTCTATACATACAGATCAATGATACATTGTGCATAGTCTATTACATAGTGAGTAGACAGTTTTATTATTATAATGGTTATTTTGGTGGGTGTGGTTTGTTAATTTGTTTATTATTTACTTAGTTTATTTCTGATTTATTTGTCTGGATTAATTTATTTTACTTGTTTTTGTTTATTTATTTTATTTTTTTATTTATTTTCATTTATTCTTGTTCACCTTTAAAACAAACAAATGTCCCTCGCAACACAAAGAACAAGACAACTATGGGAAAGACTTGACTAACTTTGTAAGAAACATAAAATTCCATAAACATGATGTCTTCCAACAGGCTTGCAAAGATTTGCTTCCGAAAAAAAAGTAAAAGAATATATAACTAAAATAAACAATTCAGCTAACATATTTATTGCAGTGGACAAAACTAAAAATTTATACGAACTAAGCCCCCCCCCCAAAACACAACAAATTACTCAAGGACAATATAGCTAAAACATACAAAATAGCTCCCAAAACAACAGAATACAATATCAATAAGGAAGCTAAAACAATCAGCCAAAAATTAACCCCAAATGACCAAATAAATTGCATCAATAAGGTACAAGCATATATCACACAAAAAGACCACAAGGGTAATTTCAGAACAAACCCAATATGCAGACTCATAAACCCTACCAAAAGTGAACTAGGTAAAATAAGTAAAACAATACTAGAAAAAATAAAAATCAGTGCTAAGGAAGAAGTTAGGAGTAAATCAGTGGAAAAACACAGAAATAACTATAGACTGGTTCCACGACCTAAAAACAAACATAACTGCCAATTTAGACAACTATATTTAAAAGAATTCTACCGTTGTCTAATATAACCAATGCTACATAAGGCCATATCCTTAGCTCAAGAACAAATAAAAATAAACACAAACGAAATCATTAAAGTCATTAAACACTCTCAAAAATCACTATTTATCTAGGTGGAGAAGAGTCAGATTCATGCCTTTCTCAAGGGCTTATATCTGCTACAATACCTTTACATCTCAAAAATCATTTTCTAGTGATCTTTTATAACATTTGCACAATGAATTAAAAAAATATCTTTGACAGACTCCATTGTAAAATATTTTCTATTGTTCATTATATTTTTGTAGCAAAGATCAATCTTCATGATCCAGAAATTTATATATATATATATAAAGACATTGATGAAAATAAAGAAGCAAGAAATGTGTAGTATCAATTTATACAAATGCTTTAAAAACTTCAAAGCTAAAGTCTAGTCCAAATATATTATAACTCTACAAGTAAATGAACCAAAATATGAAATGGCTTGCCTTTTACAAAAAATGTCTCAATTTTCCATTGATTATTATTAATTCACCCATTCCTGACTCAATTTCATGTATCATAATACTTACTAATAGCTTGTATTTATTTGCAAAATTGTGACCATTTTATAGCTGAAATTAATGAAGAAAAATTCATTTAAAAAGCAACCACTAATTTGATTTTCTGTAACCATCAATACTCAAAATAAAATTTTAAAGCTATCTTCTCTAATAGAACAGTTGATTCTTTACAAATCTTTACTGGTTAGACTTACAGAGGTACACAGAGGAATGCAATCATTTCATTTGTAGGAATTTTTATCATTTGTCCTCGTAGAATCATCTGAACTGGATCTGAATTTTCTTTTGACTCTTTGGGTACAACACAACATTGTAATTCAAATACCACATGGTTATGATAAAGGATCTGAAACATAAGCGAAATTAATCAAATTAATATTATAATCACTTCTTTATCAGAATTTACATAATGATAGGCTTGATCAAATTGAATAAATTAAGCCTTCATCAAACGTAAAAATTAAATAACTGGCAATAATTATAATAATAATAATGATGATAAGAAAAGGAAGAAGACTCTAGACTAGAAGTCTTAAATATAGGTGTGGTTGTCGACTTGGGTGATTTGCTATTTTAAGTGACTAAAGAATTGGCTTAAAAGGAAGTGTTAAAGTTAAGATTTTATTGTCTATTATTATAAAATTACTGTGTGAAGCAGGTCATTACAGATGCAGGAATGATGATATAGCAGTAATTCTGTTGCTTAGTGAAACAGATTTTGTACTTAATATATAATTCAATTATATAATCACTCAGTTCATAGTTATCAGTTAGGGTCAAGAGTTATATAATCATCATTGGAGTCCATATATTTTCCAAATGCACACACATAATGAAATATATGACTATTATATCCTGTATCATAGTTATGGATCTATATATTGTAGTGATCAATAAATCTATCTTAAATTAACATTTTGTAAAATGTTTTCACTGTTTAGGAGTACTAAACTATAATTTTTATTCTTTTCCATTATGTTGAGTACACTATAACTTACTTTAGATCAAACAGAGACATGTTTTCCTACCATGTAAAAATTAATTTATATAATAAATTGGTAAGAGTAAAAATAAAATTACAAAAAAATACAACTCTAAGATTAAAAGATTGTGCCAAAAGTAAGCAGTTCCTTAGATGTCCACATGTTTTCTAGTATAAATTGAATTAAATCAAGTAAATTTGTGTTCATTCATATTGACAACAACCAAAGCATGCTTGCCTACAGAATGAGCTCATTTATTTTAAGAGAAGATAAAGGTCTCCTTTACAAAAATGGAATACAGTAACTTCATGCTTATAGTAAAATATCAGATATCAGAACTTCTTGATAAAAATGGAGGAAACCATAATATTGAATAAAGGATATTAAAATCAAGTTTTCAAATACTTATATTGACTGTGAGGCATCAGACCCATCAGCCATTTTAAAATTACTGTGATAAGTGATACAACTGGTAATTGGCAGATTGATGAATTGGCTATTGACATTGAAAAGCAACTTATATCTTAATTTCAAAGATCATTGATAAATATTGTTGCTTGTACAACAGATTGAACACCAGCAATGGTTGGTTGCTCTCAAGGATTTGTAGAAATTCCCAATTTTTTATGTGTGTGTTTTATTATTATTATTTTTATTTCCTTTGATTTCTGGCATTTACACATTTCTTTCTGGGTCCCGCCCAGGGACCTAAGGTTAGAAATGGCATCATGACACTTTCCACTGACAAAAACAAAAAATTACATAGATGAAGCCCTTCATAAAGTGTGGGCTGTACTTGTCAGAACAATTTTTTGTATCTCTTTGAGGCATGGACTTCCAGGAATCCCTTCAATTAGTCTACTGGAATCTTTTCCAACCAATCCTAGGGCTCCAACTACAACAGGGATTATTGATGTTCTCATGTGCCACATTTTTGAGATTTCTATTTCAAGGTCCTTGTATTTTGACAGCTTTTTGAATATCTTCAAAGATATATTGCAGTCTGCAGGGACTGCCATTTTTATTAACAGTTTATATAAAGTATATAAGTAAATAATTTTCTAAAATGATTTGTCTGTGAAGCTAATAAGGAGGCACTTTTTTTGTTTGTGGTCTTTAATAACAATGTCTGGGCAGTGGGCTTTGATTGTCATGTCAGTGTGTATTGTGTAGTCACATAGAATTGTAACAGGTCCTATCTCTGTAACCGGGTCTGGGTGGAGATCATACCAGTTTCTTTCAGTTTCCTTCCCATAGAAGTTGCAAATTTTCCAGTGCAGATATTGGCCCACTCTGTCATGCTGGGTTTTATACTCAGTGGGTGCAAATATAGTGGAACCTGATACAATATGATCAATTGTTTCTGGATATTTATCACATAATCTGCATTTTGGGCTAACACAATATTTTAGTATATGTGCTTGATAACAAGCATTGGTCCTGTGCAGCAAGGATAAAAATTTCCGTTTCAGCTTTCAACCTCGCACTACGTAGCCACTGATAGGTACGGGTTTTGTCTGCATCAACTTGTTTGGTACAGGCAGAATATTGGCCACGAAGCGGTTTATCTTGCCATTGTTTTTTTTGCTTTCTTTTTCAAATATTTTGCAGCTTCAGCCAGTGTACTGTGCTTTACTTGCATTTCTGCACCCATTTGAAACTCCATTTTGAATTTGTTGGCTTCCTTTATTACGGAGTAAAGACACTTACTACTTTCATGTTCTTTGACACGTATCATCATCCAGTATTCTGTAATTTCCAAGTATCTTTGGAGGCCAATTGTTGTAGTTTTGTAGGACAGTTCTAATTGAACTAATCCTCTGCCTCCTTCGGATCTGGGCACATACAATCAGCATCAGCTTTGGGATGATGCATGTGGTAGCAAGTGAGAAGCTTTCTTGTTTTGGCATCCATTCGCTTAATTTCAGCTATGGTCCAGTTAAGGACATTAAAGCTGTATTGCACCACAGAGACAGCTAAAGTGTTTATGGTTGATATTCTGTTTTTTGAGTTTAGCTCGGTATTTAGTACCAGACATACACACCTGTAGTACTCCTTTCTTACCTTCTCCTTCATTTGGGGGGGGGGTATGCCATCTCCTTTGCTAATTCCTAGGTACTTATAGGCTTTATCATGCTCCAGTTCCCTAATCTTTGTGACAAAATCTAAATCTATTAAGGGTGTTTCTGTAATTCTACCTTTCTTGAATGTTACTTTTGAACATTTATCTAATCCGAAGTCCATACCTATGTCATCACTGAAGTATTTTACAATATTGAGGAGGCCCTTCAACTCATTGTCGTCTTTGGCAAAGAGTTTGAGATCATCCATGTAGAGTAGGTTATTGAATATTTTCTTATTTATTTTGTAACCATAGCTACTGTTGTTCAATTCATGCGTAAGGGGGATTAAGGACAAACAAAACAGAAAGGGTGACAGAGAGTCTCCTTGAAAGATTCCACATTGGATATTTAAATGGTTGGATATGGCAGTACCCCTGGTGTGACTAAGGTATAGTTTGGTGTTTCACATTCCCATGCTGTACTTAAGGAAATTTAATACCACAGGGGAGACTTTGTACATTTCCAAAGTCTTAAGGATCCAAGAATGTGGAACATTATCAAAGGCATTACGATAATCAATCCATACTGCGCTAAGATTTCTCGTTTTCCTGTAATTTTCCAGGATCATTTTATTTATCAGTAGTTGATCTTTGCAGCCATATGAACCTCTCCTCATCCCTCTGTTCCAATGGAAGAATGCTGTTTGTTTCAAAAAACAGAATAAATACATTTGTCAGGACAGACGTGATCAACTTATACGTTGTGGAGAGACATGTTATCGGTCTATAATTTTTCGGGTCATCTGTTTCATTTGTTTTTGGCATGAGGTATGTAATACCTTCAGTAATCAATTCTGGGATTTTATTGGGATTATTTACAAGTGTTGATAATGTTTTTGCAAGGATTTTTTGGATAGATGAGAGATGATAAAGCCAGAAATTATTATTATTATTATTGTTATTATTATTATTATTATTATACAACACTTAGAGAAGAATGTGATTTAAGAAAAAGCAAAGAAAAAAGAAAATGTTTAACAATATTTCAATAGTATGTCTGTCTTCAAGTTATATTTAACAATTACATACAAGTATAAATATATAAAATAATACAAGTCTTTGTACAAATGTTGCTTGTCTTGAGAAAAACTGTTATACTGTTAATCAATGTGACAGAATGAATTAACTACAGCCAGTATGAATAGAATGCAACTGAGATGTGAGTAACATGATGGGGATCTTGCTCATCTTGAAATTTTCAATTAGTTGATTAGTTAGTAAGAGCAATTAATCAAACAGTTTAGTATAAATGTTATGAAACTCTCCTGTCATTTTGTTCATTCCCCAGGGGTGGGACGTTAATAGTTTGCATATATAATTATCTTCATGATGATAATGATGATAATAATAATAATAGCAGAAGGAGGAAATTGTAAAATGTGAAGAAAGGATTTGTTGTGATATTGGCAATTTAAGGAAGGATTGAGACTTTCTAAAATATGGCAGTTTGGGGATTTGCAAGAAAAGGGTGCTGAAGATTGGTGGAGACTTGCAGTCACTCATTTTTAAGTAATAACCACAGGACATATGAAATATGAAATATTTCATCTGAAATATAATGAAACATGAAATATAATAATATTTTAGATAATTCACATATCTTAGTGCATACATTTTTATTAACAGTTTATATAAAGTATATGAGTAAATAATTTTCTAAAATGATTTGTCTGTGAAGCTAATAACCATATTTATTTTCTTCTGACTATGTTCAAAGTTTATTAACCTTTCTTTTACACTTAAAATGAAATAAAAAAATTTGATGTTGTTGACATTCAGTTTTAATAGTTCTGATCATTGATACTCAAAACTATTTGATCTGACAGACTGGCAATTTTTCCCTTAGGTTAGGGACTATTAGCATGATCAGTATATTGTTAACTGAATATTTATAGTAATTTTTATTACTTTAAACATTATTTTTAGCGGATACCTGCATTTGAGCAGACACTTTTTTTATTTTAAACAATAATGCACACCCAAGAAAATTTATTAAAGAAAATGCACTCTTTTGCAGGATTTGAACCTGTGCCTCCCTTTGTAAGAGAAACCATTGTTTAATCTAACATGCTTTGACCACTTGTCTATGAAGAGCTTCACAATCAAGCAAAGTTCTATTTAACTTTAAAGCACATTTACTCATTCAGATTTTGTCAAAAGTCATAACTTCTCAGTTTCATAATCAAAATGTAAACAAAGAAATTTCTAAAGAATTAATGGATCAAGTGTGCAGGCTGGTAGACAAAATAAAATATTGTTTAAAATAAATGGAACGTCTGCTCATATATGAGTATCCACTAAAAATAACATTTAAAGTAATAAAAAATATGTTGGATTAAAAAATAAAATCCATTAATTCATTAAAAAATTTATAATAATGTTAATTATGATCAGGGAAAAAAAAATATATATATACACACCAAAATAAACAAACACTAAAATAGTTGTGTTAAAATCATGTCAAAAAGTGCTCAATTTCAATTAAAAAAAATCAAACATGTAAAGCAATTAAATATCTTAAAAAGATTAAAACACTGAATGGAAGACTATCGCGGTTTTGACCACCAAAGACTCATCAGGTGGTTAACTCAATGAAGTAATTAGAGACAACACAAAAATTTAAATTTCTTAATGTAGTACTGGAAGTATGAAGAGGAGTAGGAGTGGAAAAAATGAGGAGGAGGATTGAAGAAAAAAAACAAAAATTTATTTCTCCAACATCATCCAGGCTCATACAATCCCAAAATCAACCTTCTCATGTGCCTACATTTGGCCATAATTTGGGATCTTCCATTCAACAACTCAGTGCTACTGCATGTTCCAATAGCCAACTACTCCTTCTGACACAGCCTATAGTAGTTGCCATTCACTTTACCTTTCGTAAAATGCTCCACTTAATTATCTGGCTTCTTCATTTTTTTTTTCTAAAACGCCAATAGTAGTTTGCTAGCTTTGTATTGAACTTACATTTGGGTATTCTAAATGACAAGGTATGATGATACCATCTCTTTTTAAATTGGCCCTCAATTGCAAAGTATGTTTTTTGCTGCCATTGTCATTTTCTACCTCGTCACAATACACTACCCCTTCTATGCAACATACCCCATTTAAGGAACAATTATTTTTTTTTCTGTAATTACAAAGAACCTTATTTCCACCTCTCACATCCTCTTCAAGATTTAATTTTCTTTTGTTCAATCTTTTAATAATATTGTCCAGGTTGTTAGTGCAACTATAGCTCAACTTGACTGTATTATGGTTAAACAATTTGTACAGCCTGGACACTTTCAGGAAGTGCTTATTTATAAGGCTAAAAAACATTTTCCCTATATTTGTTTTTACTTGCATGTTGAAGGGTGGGTTGAACTAGATAACATTTCTTTTTCTATTGTTATCTGTTCTTGCGTTTGCTTGGTCCTTGAAACACAGGTTGATGTTATGCCCCTCCTCCTCTCTTAATATATATTTTCTTTTTTTCATTGAATATTATCTTCATTTGAAGAATTTTTCCTCCAGCATCAGATTTATCCACTGGTGGTCCTGGCAAACAATGTCCTACTGGCTACATGGCTTGTAAGGTCATTACCAGTTTGAAGATGGTGAGTTGAACTGGTAGATGACTCTGGTAGAGTGATCATCAGGTTGTTACAAAATACTCTAATAGCAGTTTTAAAAATTTAATTCAATCTTGGATGTTAAATAAAAAGAAAAAGAAAAAGAAAGGTTATCAGGTACCATGTTTATATTGAGTGGCATTAACACATTTTATGACATGTTGCACTATTAATAACAAGTAACATTTCAAAACTTCAAAAATTAATTATTTTAGGGGAAAAATGCAGAATTGGTAATTTTAATCAGAACATCCTAACTGTAACGATAACAGACAGCCATAATTAATTAATTGATTGTTAAATTATATATGCTAGCTGTCACTTAACTTTACTCTTTTTCAACAAGCAGAAATCACTACTAATCACTCATTCTATCCACTTCTGTCGTATGTCTGTATATTTGTTTATAACCTAGTAACTTACATCACTTCTCTTGATCTTCATCATTATAGTCTTTAAAAAAAGAAAAGGCATTTGAAAATATGTGATAGTACCCAACTTATTTCAATTTTCACATAAAGATTTACTTTTAAAGAACTTTTGCCATGTCCCTTCAGGATGTAAGTGATCACAGTTTTTTTATTGATGCATTTTCTTTCTTACTTGTGAATTACTATGTATTCTTAAGAAAGATAATGCTGGGGTTTCCCATTAATTTCTGCATGGTTTTAAATTCAGAGGTTTCTTTCCCTTAAACTGGTTACCACTCAAAGCTAGAGAGCCCAATCTACCCTACCATTTAACTCCTAGCTGGGAGAGAGTAGAAGAGACAGATTCATATCTTTCCCAAGGGCAATAGTGTGAAAGTGACTAGCCTGAAAATTTAATTCAGCTTGCTGATATTTATTAATGTATCTCTACATTCAAGAATAATAACAGAAAGAAAAATAGAAAAAGAATGGCAACTTACATCATCATAAGTAAATTTGGTTGAAAGTGGTCTCCGTAAAGTGAAAATTTTATTCATATCTTCACCCCTTAGGGGATGGTTTCCAAACAAGAACTGAAGGTTGTTGCCAACCTGTTTAATTTTCAAGTCTTTATCAAAAAATAAAGACATTGGAAAAACCTGAATAAAAAACAAATTGTGAAAAAGAATATCAAAAACTATTTTCTATACATTCATCTATTTTGCTTTCTACTGTCAATAAATTATAGCATTTATCAAATTATATTCAAAATAAATTTTCTTATTTTTTAAGCTTCAATCTAGTTTCTTTCTTGGTGTGTTTTTATTTATCATAGATCAAAATTAATTTTTTTAAGAGAATGAGAAATGACAGATTACAGAGTTATATAAATCAATCTTAATACCAATTTTAATGTATAACTTTTAAGTCATTTTTCTTAATAGTTCCTTTTCCAAAGAGGAAAAAAGTAACCAAATATTAAATTACTTACATTTTCAGAATATTTTATTTGTCATTCAGAAATGTCATGAATACATACTGATTTGTCTCAACAATTAATGTAGTAAATACTATCGACCTACAAACAGTGCCTTTTTGCTCATTAGGGCTTCACATTTCTTTCCAGAAATTCATTTTTGAATAATATATTTTAGGAATGACAGTATGTGTGCTTAATAAGTTACCATGACAGAATCAATGTAGCAATTTCCCAATTATAGTATTTTTAGTGTTTATGGCTAGAAGATTTTTCAGAATTACAACAGTTTTTCTAATATATCAATCATTTGTTGAAATCAATCATTTGTTAATACACAGAATGTCTAAGAAAAAAGAAAATGTATTCTGAACACTGTTATTGTAAAAATAAAAGTAGAAAAATATATAAGTTTATATGGAACTTAAGTCATTTGTTAAACTGACAATATCATGCTAGTTTTTAAATGCCCTTGTATTGCTAGTTTTTCAATCTAGTACAGTTCAAATCTTATAAAGAATTTGACTCATATGAGTGATATCTATTCCAACAATGTAAATAGATTTACTGTTCACATGCACACAAGATCTTTTCTCCATTAAATTATAAAGTAGTAACATTTTGCCAAAAAATTGTATTATATAAATAAGATGGTATTATTAAAATTACAAAAAATACATTAAAATAAATGCTGTAAAACCATTATATAATACATATTTATAGTTTAATAAAAATGGTAAAATATTTGGTATATAAATCATAAACATATAAATTGATCATAAACATATAAATTGATCATAAACATTTCATTTTAAAAGATATTAAAGAAAATATTTATTGATTCATATTCGGAATGAGTTAAATGTAAATTATTTGGGCAATTTTGAGTTATCTCCCTTAACTAGCTAAGAAACTATTCACTCATTTGTATATAAACTTGTCATATCCTGTCAGTTCTCCCACATTTTTTTAAATCAACCGGAAGAAGAAATTTCACTTTCCAGGACCAGTGACTGTTGTATTCAGCATATAAAAAAGCCTCAAAATTGGCAAAAACAATGAATCCAGACCAAGATGCCTAGGATCACCTGAGTGAATGAGCTGCAGTGGCTTGGAGGAATTCATTGGACATACCTTCTTTCACTATGATGTTGCACGGCCGTTGTGCAGGCTGATTGAAGATTACATGGCTCATGTCTTAGACAGAAAGTTTTTCATCCTGGAAGCCAGTTCTGTCTGTGCTAAAGAGTTTCATGGCAATCAGAAGTTCTCTTCTCAACTGGTCTCTTTCTTTAAGCATCAGCTTAAAGTTAAGATCAGGCTGGAAAGGGTGCGACTCTCTTCATTGAAATTCAGCAAAAGATGGATATGTTTTGAACTTGGTATGAGTGAGAGGTGCTGACAGAGTGATTATTGGATGCTGCTTAAGTTGGATACTGGGACAACTGATGATTCAGTCTGGTACCTAATGGAGTGGTACTGGGAACTGACCATATTTTCAGCATATTTAGGGATGAAATGTATATACAAGTTACACTTGAAGTCTAGAATGAGTTTAATTCTCAATAGAAATTCAATACAAGTGGCTTCATTTAGAGAACACCCATTTATCACAATAGTTGAAAATTCAGGGCCTGCTTAGTGATGATGGAACAGTACTAGTTTGGTTTTTAAATGTGACCAGCCAGTTTTCCCCCATTGAGCTGTGAGAGTTAGTCAAAGAATAGATCAGCTGCCAGGCTCTGGTCATTTAAACTTTTGCAGATGGACTCATACACCATTGTATCATCTGCATAGATATTCACTAAAGATCAGAGTATGTTCTTTTATTTCAACTCTTCTTAAAAGGGCCACATCATCAATGGAGAATACTATAGCAACTCTTCTTATTAATAATTGCATTATTTATTTCCAGGTAAACTGACATCTGACTGTTCAAAGAAGACTTCAACAGTAATTAGTAGTGACTTCTCTTAAAAATGGACAAAATTTGACATCATTATCAAGTACCAGTAGAAAAAAGTGTTTAGCCACCATGATAGAGATATTACTAAGTTTGTATTCCCTAAGAGAGAAGGAGGGAAGTCAGGAAGAGGATGACCCTTGTCATCTAATATGGAGTTTGAGACAAAGTTCACTGTGAATACCTTTGCCAAATTGAATAAGGATGAGATAACCTCAGAGACATTTATGATAGTAGGCAATGACACTGTGCCTCCTACTATACCATTCCCTGTGATAGATATTGTACTAATGGTTACAGTGAGCTATGGCTGCACTACATTCTGGCATGACCCAGGGCTGGGTATTCACTTTTCTGGTACTTTTCCTGTCCTTTATATAGGCATTAAGTCCATGGCTGTTATGATTTTGAGGATCATGTTTCATTATTAGTGGTGAGTAACCCAGAATTATATGTTCCTGTACTGGTACTAATACCAGTTTCAGACAGGAACAAGCAGTCAAGTTTGACCACCTTTTGATAGTTTTGAATTAACTCTATTTCAAATAAGCAAATTGAAATGAAAGTTAATAAAAAAAAAATAAATAAAAGATTACTTTCCATTCTATAAAATATAATATCAACAACCAAATGGAAAAGTTCCAAAACATCCAAGATGTAAATAAATAAATTAAAAATAATGACTTTATAATGATATAAATTCTATACAGTTGGTATAGCATTTATTGAAGATTTTACAAATACATAAATTTAGTGACAGTTGATTATAATTTATTTAGAGAAAAATTAGCATGATATTTTGTTTGAGAAAGTAACTTGCTCATCAAAATATCCTTGAAACCAATTTCACATTCTTTTGAAAAATGTGGAACCTATAATAAGGGCATTTATGTTTATATGGTCACATTTATAAACAGTAAATTTATGTGCATTCTGTACATTATGTCTTAAACTTTCATTTTTAACCACAAAATAAACTTTCCCTAAAATTATTCTTTCATTTGACAAAAATATAAGATAAACAAATTTAGCTTCATAGAATTTTAGGGTAATATTCGTTGAAACTAGTTGAAACTAAGTTCTAAACTCCTAATTAGAATATCCAGGAGCGATAATGATTCATGCAATTATCAATTTTATTTGTTTACTTCACTTTTTTTTTAAGAATCATCATTTTTACTAAATAAATTAGTTATATAAATTTTTGCAATAAACTATTAGAATTAATATTTATAAACAGATGTGAAAAGTTCTCAGCCAGATCAATTTTGTTTTGCCAGATATTGTGAAGTGGGCTGGTTTGATGTATTTTCATGTTTCATGATATAGTATTACTTTTACATTTTAATTAGCTTCTTGAAAATAAACAAGGAAATATGGAAAATTGTTTATCAAAACTTTTATCTATTTTTTAAGAGACTGATCTAAGGAAATGTAACATATGGAGAAAATGGATGTTTGCTGAGAAAACAGTTAAGTTAAAAATGACTGACTTAATTTTTTTCATTGTCTGAAATTAAATATAGCTAAGAAAAGCCTTTAAGTTAAAATTGATAAAAATGAAAAGAAAAATATGCCCAGTTGTGTAAAAGTTATTAAAACAAATAAAACTACATATAAAATTATGACTATATAACCAGTCTGTAAGCATAGTGATAACAAGACATGAGAAATCTTATAGACGTCATTTACTTTCAACTTAATTTCTTAGTTGTTCTTTATATTAAATTTCATTCAATACAAGGCTCGGGAGCCTCTCAAGGTTGAGTGTTACTGTTAAAATTGTTATGATGAATGATGTGCGTGATAGGAATGAAAAAGAAGGAAGTAAAGATTATAAAGATAAGGAGGATAAGAGTTTATTGCAATTTTGCTCAGGCTATTAATTTAAAAAGCAAAAATAAAAAGTAAACCCCCAGTGAGCTTTGAACTCACATCCTTTTTGACTCAAAAAAGCCTGGTTAATGTACATTTGCTTCAAATATTAAGTTATCAGAAATAAACAGCTTTGCAGATGACCAAATCTAACTCATTACTCCATTTCATGATCTTTATTATTGAATTTGTTTTTGTTTTTACACTAGTAGTATTATGAGCAGCAGTATTTTTATAAAGCATTGTCTGCCATTATAATTCCTTTTAACTACAAACTTTATGAAAAAATATGGAATTAACACACATAGAGAATGCTGACTTAGGTTTGTTTATTTAGTAGTAAATAAAGTAATAATAAATAAGACACAAAACATTTTTATTTAATAGCAGAACATTCTGGTTTCATAAAATATACCTTAAACAAACTAGATTTAATTATTTAAAATAATGGTATAATTTTTTTCCAAGCCATGTACAGTAAAATATTATGGAATCTTATAATTTGCATTCCTAAAACAAATACTAACAGAAGCCTAGATAGGCAAATTAGTCTAAAAGAGAGTTTTTGCAGACTTCAACCACAGAGGAAACATAGCTCCAACAAAAGAACTGTCAATTGAAACAATGTAAGGGGTCATAAAATTTATTCAAGAAGGTAATCCACAGTGGAGTGTGGTGAAAGACATTGGTTGTTCCCAGTCAATTGGGTCTAAAATTTGGTGCAAATGTAAAGGAAACAAGATGGTTAAAAAAGGAAAAAATGCCAGCAGACCATGAAAGATATCAGGCTAAAAAATCAAATCAATATGCCTTAAAAATAGAAAATATACAACAAAACAAATGAAAAACAAATGGGTTAAAGTAGGAGCCAATGTTTATGATATAACTGTATGAAATTGGCTGAATGAAATAAAATTGACAAACAAAAAAGCCAATTGAAAGTCAGCACTAATACACAAACAGAAGAAAATGAAGTTAAAGTGGACTAAAGAGAAACAATCATGTCATTTGGACAATTGATTGAAAGTGATATTCATTGATAAATAATGACTCTGCGTTGGACAAGGCAATGATGCTTGAACTTTTGTCTAGTGCTGTTCAAATGAAACATAAAAATATGATCAGCTGAAGAAAACAAGTAAATTTTCCAAGTCATTAATGATTTGAGGTTGCATGTCATTTAAAGGATCAGAAAAGAAGGCAATCATTACATCAACAATCAATGCACATGTGTACATTGAAATCCTAGATAATTTTCTCATTCAATCAATAGAAAATTGTTTTGGTGATGATCAAGTCATTTTTCAGGTGTATAATTAACCTTGTCACAGAACAAAGAGTTTTAAATCAGCAAAGGCATATAAAATAAATGACATGACTAAAAAACAATCCAGTTCTGAATCCTATTGAAAATTTATGGTGGAAATTTAAGTTTAGTCCATGAGAAGGCTCCATCCACCAAAGAAGATCTATCAACTGGCATTTGTGAAAGTTGGAACCACTTTGATAAAGAATATTACTTTAAATTAGTGAAAGCCTGAAAGAATTCATGCTGTCATAAAAGTTCAAGGAATGGGCAACTAAGTATTAGTTATATTTTTTTTGTTAATGAATTCTATAATTTTTCCTCAACATTTAGGTTGTTCCATAATATTTTCTTCTATATCACTTAGAAAAACTTATACCATTAATTTAAATAATTTAATCTAATTTGTTTAAGGTTTTCTGAAACCAGAAAATCCAACTATTAAATAAAAATAATTTAGTGTCTCATCTGTGATTAGTTTATTTAGTGCTAAATAAATAAAAACAAGGTGAATTTCATTTAAATGTGTGAATTCTATAATTTTTGCCATTTACTTTCATCTTAAGTTTTAGTTGATTTTTACTGGAAACTTTATACAGACCACAAATATCTCTTAGTTCACTTCAAAGGAAAATCAGTATATTTTATTAATTTATTCATTTCCATGGCAAAAAAATGATATCCTATCACCATGACTATCAGTGTGTTTCTAAAGAAAACTTCTTAAAATACAAAAATGGTGTCATTGATTTGTCATTGTCTCAGCATAAAAAGCAATTATGAGTTTCTCATAGTACTTTGGAAATAAATCTTCATTCTTATTGATTAGATATATCTAAAATTAGCAAAAAAAATTAATAATGATATATACTTAAAATGATAGTACTTTCAACAGTCAGTAATTAAATAGTAACATTTGCATAATGTCTCTTTCCATGTGTTATCTTTTTTATAGTCACCTGTTGTTTTCTTGTTTCACTATATTTATTTATTTATTCATTTACATATGTTTTGCATATGTAAGCACTAATTGAGTATATTTAATAATAATCTAAATAAAAAGACAATGTGAAAATAGCTCACCTCAAAGAAAAATCTTGAAGGAATATCAGGAAATTTATAATCTTCAAGAGGGATTGCTTGTTGATGAAGAAAGGGCAAGTTGTCAAAGTCCAACCGATACTCAATTTGACAGCCACTGTCCAAATCCTTCATGGACAGAACTTTCACATTCATATCCACTTGAAACATATTGGCACATTCTTGTAATTGTCCAATAACATACTCAACAAAACCACACCTATGGGATGTATAGCAGAGCACACAGCCATTAATATCTTCAGATTTTACAATAAATGTTGGGCTCATCATTTTTGGATAGCTGAATCGAATGGTCTCATGTAGGTTATTAATTTCATGTAAGAAATCCCGAAAGTAACGTCCAGACAGCATAAGAATCTGATCATATTTGTATGTTGAGCAAAACTTAAAGAAGCATTTCCCAAAGTAGCACATGTACCCCTCTGGAGATTTATCTTTTATCACTTCACTACAACCTCGAGCCAGTTTCACCATCAGTTCATTGTCATACATGGCATGTGTTGTAAACACTGTTCCATCTTCCAGATGAGCATGAGATAGGATTTTCTTCCATATAGTACCACCATATTCTTGTTCCACAAAATGTTCAATACTCAAAAAGAGAAGTCCATACATTTTTTGACACTGAAAAAGAAAGAAATTATATTATTCAATAAGTATAAATATATATTTATATATGTCTCATTATTACAAACACATCCAAAATTATTATTTATATAAGATCAGAATGAAAAATGTACATAACAATAATAATTCTTAAGCAGATATATATAAAATAAACTGTCACAATTTTTCCTTACAATATACTGAGGAAAAAAAATGTATCTATGAACACAAAAAGGATCTTATGCATAAGAATTTATCAAATGCATTAAGCATACACAGAAATAAGTTAAACTTCAATATAAAGAGCACCACACTTAAATAGAAAAATAAAAAAATAACTTAATAATAAAAATAACTTTTCTTGAGAGTGCTGCTATTGAATCTTGCCAAAACGTTAGCCTGCACCCCAAATATTTTCAAATATCTCCATTTCTAAAAGATATGCTCCTTTCCCAAGCCAACATACATGACCATAAAAATTTGTAAAAATTAAAAGAAAATAGTTTACCATGACTTTCAGAGTTAGCCTGGATAATATTTATGAGAATTCTTAAACTAGAAATTTTGAAAACCTAAGAATATTTTTACTTCCATTTGTATATACATGTTGCAAAATGAAGAACTTACATTTGCCTTGATAAAGTCCCGAGGAAAAAACATGTTGGTAAAACAAGTTTTCATATATATTTATGTATATATCTCCTTTTCTCGCAAACCTACTGCTGATACAATGTGAGATAAAAAAATTTTTTAAATATTGATAAAAAGCTGAATGATATAAGCTAAGTTAAACATCTAGATATACAAACAAATTAAATTTGAAGCTGAATAAAATTGCAACCAAATTTCTTTTATTTCTACCTCAACCTCCTAACTGCTGATACAGGGTGAGGTAGAGAGGACAGATGTTTTTGAAATGGCTATTACACAGAGCCGTGGTGAGAGGGGCATAGTACTACAGGTACTATTCAGTCCATGGTGTGTCTTAGAATTTTTTTCTTTTCAGTTGAAGCCATGGCGCTGTGGACACCAACAACAGTTTCGGGAAGAATAACGAGTCTATCACAGCACCTGAGTTTGTTCACACTCATAACACAATCTTACATTGAGTTCATGCACTTCATACATGAGGTACACTAATGAATAGCAGACTATGAACGGTGCGTATCCCAAAAAATGCGAAACGCTTTAGACAAACTTTGCTGCACGGTTCAAATCACTCTGCTCAGGGGCATGCTACTGAACTTAGCATCAATATTTTTTTGGTAAGGTGTATTTTGCATGAGAAACTACATTTTCTACTACCCTTACAAATTGGTCATTGGGCAACAGTTGAAGGGACTATGCACAGCGACTTAACTTTGCACGTCAAATGGAAGTAATTTTTGAGGCAAATGATAACCTCATTTTGTTAATGAATGATGAAGATCATTTTCATCTCAATGACATGATGAATCAACAGAATTGTCATTATTGGTCTATTGAAAATCAGAGAGAACTGCATGAAAGACCACTGCACAGCCCAAAAGTGACGATTTGGTGTATTGTTGGAAATGCTGGAATCATTGATCCTTACTTTTTTGAAAACCATAATGGAAATGCTGTTACTGTAAACTCCAGACGTTATATCGATATGATGAACAACTTCTCTGTGCCTGAATTACGATGATAATGTATTCCTATCTGATGTGTGTTGTTTCAGCAGGATGGGGTGATGGCCCACACAACAAGAGCATCAATGGACGTTCTTCACCCTCTTTTTGGTGACCACCTTATTTCCAGGTTTACTGAGATGCCTTGGATTCCTCGGTCTCCTGATTTGTCTTTGTGTATAAGCATAAGCCCAGTACATTGGATGATTTGAAGGAAACTATTCGACAGAGCAATGCTGGAAAGAGTGGAGGCCAACATCCCAGAATGCCTTCAGAAATGTATCAATGAAAACGGACACCTCATGGATGTTGTTTTTCACATTTGATTTTGTCAAATGCTAATTTAATACAAACACATTGATGTCAATAAAATTTTTTGAAGATATAATTAATGATGTGATTTTTTTCAAAAACGTCCGTCCTCTCTGCCTCACTCTGTATATATAAAACTGACTGACTCAATAAAACCGTTATTTCTCTGAAGAAGTTTCTTCTCCGAATGAAACACACCACTTATGAGCTTTTCCATTTTGTCATTTACTTACATAGTCTGTTTTTGTATATATCTTCCATATGTATGTATGTATATTTTCTAATTTTTTCTAAATTTGAGAAGAGGAACTTTTATCATTCAATAATATTTTCCAACTAGCATTCTGTAAACAATAATTTATTAGATAAAGGTATTGGTTTCACATCATTCTCTGATATTGCAAGTTCAATCCTTGGACAGAGTAGTTGACATGAACATCACTTGAATACTGCTGCCATATCTGGTCTGGTTCCCCTGCTGTTCAATTCAAGGTTCTTGACAAAATCCAAAGAAGAATCTGCAATGTAATCGTTCCTGACTTGGCATCTTGAATTCTGTCATTTTCTCACAGGCATGATGCGGCTTCCCACTGTCTTTTCTACAAATATTTTCATGGCAACTGCTCTGACGAGCTTTTTCCCTGGTGCCCTGACTTACATGAATTTAAGAGTGCTAATAGATTGGCATCTAGGTCCCGTTCTTTTACTGTTGAAATAATTAAATGTAAACCCCACTTCTAATCCAACAGTTTCTTTTTCCACACCTCCCAACAGTGGAACTCCTTCTTCTTACTTGCTTCCCTGATAACTACAATCTTCAAAAACTTAAATGCAACATCAATAGCCATCTTCTGTGGTCTTGAACCCCGTTCATTTTTTATCCTTTCCCCAATCCTCCCCTATACCTAGTCTGTAACCCCCCACATACTAGTGGAACTCCCGCCTTGTTTGGGGTGAATTGCTTAAAAAACAAAAATCTCTGTTCATATTTATATCTATCTATCTATCTATGTTCATATTTATAGCTATCTCTGTTCATATCTATATCGATTTATTTATGTTTATATCTCTATATCTCTCTATCTTCATTATTTATCTTCATATCTACATTATCCTCATATCTATCTATCTGTTCATCTTTCAGATAAGCAATATGACTTTCACTTCCCTAGATCAACTGCTAATGTTTTTACCAATTATTTCTGAAAGAGTTTATCAAGCTTTAGATAAGAATGGTGAAACTCAGACTGTTGCTTTGAATATTTCAAATGCATTTCACAGGGTTTGACATACGGTTCTTCACAACTTGAAAGATTATGGTATTTCTGGACAAGTTTTTTAACTGATTCAGTCTTTTTTATCTAATCGCAAAATGAAAACTGTCTCGAACTACTCTTCTAGATCTTTTTACGTTAATGCAGGCATCCCCCAGGACTATATGTGGACCTATGTTTTCCTAATTTTCATCAAATGTCATCAGTTCTTAGACAAGAAAAATATAAATGATCATATACAAAAATGTGAATACATGTATGCAAACATGTGTAGTATCCTATAAGACAGAATCAACACTTCAAGTGTATATCAATGTTTTTAGAGAATTTTAAATCTGTTCTTATGTCTACACTTGAAGATAAGCTTGTTCCTTTGATTCAATAATTGACCAGCATTTCTATATTTAATCATTATAATTTTCTCTTGTATGCATAGATTGCATCTATCCCAGAAGTTGCTGGGAGTCTGAGTCTGACAGATGATACCCCATTTAATTTATGGGGTGAAGCCGCCAATTTTAAATTTTCAATAATGTTTAGATAGGGCAGTTTGGTATCTTAAAGAAGCATTGGAGAAGGAATGTTGATGATTGTATATATGTGTGTGTATTTATATCATATGTCATATATCATATATATAAACTCATTCTATTCATATCTCTCTAGCTGTATAGTAATAATCGTAACAAAGTCCATTTTTCAAAACTGAGTTTGAAAGTTTTGAATATTTTATTATATTTATTGTCCACCTATTGACCTATCTATGAGTTAAAAATATGAATTAGAAACAAAAGAATTATTAAATAAAGGACAAATTGGAAAATCTTTATAAATTTAACATTTCATTAAATTTATTTAGCTCCATCAGAAACTTTTGGAAATGGAATTTCTAATGTTCCTACTTGTTCCTTATTTAATATATCTATTAATATATCTATCTATCTAATTAAATGTTTTTGGCAAAATGCAAATCTTTGTTATATATATTGTATTATATACCGGGTGTAACAGCAAAATTGTCCAATTGTTAGATTAAGCTTTGAACTGTTATATCTTAGAAATGATTAAAGATATCTTACTAGAATTCTCCAAGGTTTTTATAATACTACTGGACTCTACTTTGAACAATAAAAATGTATTTAATTCCTGTTGTGACTGCCTGATCCAGTTTTCCTCTCTACTGTTTCCTCTTTTTAAAACTTATTCACCATTCTCTTGATGGTTCTTGAATGAACTTTGAAGATGAAAGCCAGGGTATGAATATTCATATCATTACCAAAGGCCTGAATTA